TTGGAGAAGAGGGTCCAGTTAATAGTTGAACCTCAGATTGAGGAGGAGCAATGTGGTTTTCGTCCCGGACGCGGAACCGTGGACCAGCTCTTTACCCTCGCCAGGGTGCTGGAGGGGGCATGGGAGTTCGCCCAACCAGTCCACATGTGTTTTGTGGATTTGGAGAAGGCTTACGACCGTGTCCCCAGAGGCATCCTGTGGGGGGTGCTCCGGGAGTATGGGGTTGGTGGCCCCTTGCTAAGGGCCATCCAGTCCCTGTACCGAAGGAGCGTGAGTCTGGTTTGCGTGGCCGGCAGTAAGTCGGACCTGTTCCTGGCGAGGGTTGGACTCTGCCAGGGCTGCCCTTCGTCACCAGTTCTGTTCATAACTTTCATGAACAGAATTTCTAGGCGCAGCCGAGTGGTGGAGGGTGTCAGGTTTGGTGACGGGAGGATTTCGTCCCTGCATTTTGCGAATGACATGGTCCTCCTAGCTCCATCAAACAGTGACCTCCAGCTCTTGCTGGGACGGTTCGCAGCCGAGTGTGAAGAGGCTGAGATGAGAATCAGCACCTCCAAGTCTGAGGCCATGGTCCTCAGCTGGAAAAGGGTGGATTGCCCACTCCAGGTCGGGGGGGAGGTCCTTCCTCAGGTGGCGGAGTTTAAGTATCTCAGGATCTTGTTCACGAGTGAGGGTAGGATGGAGCGGGAGATTGACAGGCAGATTGGGGCGGCATCAGCAGTGATGCAGGCGCTTAACCGGTCCGTTGTGGTGAAAAGGGAGCTTAGCCAAAAAGCGAAGCTCTCGATTTACCAGTTGATCTACGTTCCAACCCTCACCTACGGTAGTAGTATATAAGGACCAGCTTTGCGCGTGCACGTGAAATGCGCGTGTGTGCACGCGAAACGTGCGTGCGTTCCCCCCCCCCCCCCCCCCCCCCCCCCCCCCCCCCCCCCCCCCCCCCCCCCCCCCCCCCCCCCCCCCCNAAAATTCATACTAGTCACAATGACATTACGACTAGTCAAAATGGTGTTGTTGATATCTATAATGGTAATTTCGGATAGTCAAACTTAGCGATTAAATGTTAAAACGGCTTGCCATAGTAGTAATGCCCATTCGGTCGCATGTCATACTTCCTGCCTCATATTCAGCGACATCAACTCGCTCTGGCCTGCACTCTGTCACACAGTGGTAGAGATTTTGGCTGTGCTGGCTGCCTGCTCCAAACACTGTGAAAAACACTCTGCTTTGATCAATTTATTTCTAATATTTCACAATTTTATATTTTAGAAACCAGATTAGGGCAACAGTCTTTTAACACAAACAGTCTTTTAACACAAATATTTTTCCACATTATTCTCTTTTTTTTCTCCTCCGAGAACCGTCACCTTATCGTGGTGGAGGAGTTTGAGTGCCCTAATGACCCTAGGAGCTATGCTGTTGGGGGCATTTTGCCCCTGGTAGGGTTTCCCATGGCAGATTGGTTCTGGGCGAAGGGTCAGACGAAGAACGATTCAAAAGACCCTTCATGATGGACAAAAGCAAAGACTCGTATACCTGGCCCGGAGGGTTACCGGGGCCCCGCCCTGGAGCCAGGCCTGGGGTTGGGGCCCGTGGGTGAGCGCCTGGTGGCCGGGCCTTCGCCCATGGGGTCCGGCCGGGCCCAGCCCAAACCGGCTACATGGGCTTGTCCCCCTGCAGGCCCACCACCCGCAGAGGGATCCAGAAGGGATCAGTGCTATGTGGATTGGGCAGCAGACCAAGGTGGGGGCCTTGGCGGTTCGATCCTCGGCTACAGAAGTTGTCTCATGGGACATGGAATGTCACCTCTCTGGCGGGGAAGGAGCCGGAGCTTGTGGAAGAGGTTGAGTGCTATCGGCTAGATATAGTCAGCCTCACCTCGACACATAGTTCCGGCTCTGGAACCCAAGTCCTTGAACAACAGTTCAGAGTACCCGCTCTTTTTGGAATCCCTGGGACGGGTGCTGGACAGTGCCCCGACCAGGGACTCCATTGTTCTGCCGGAGGACTTCAACGCTCACATGGGCAATGACAGCAGGACCTGGAGGGGTGTGATTCGGAGGAACGGCCTCCCCGATCTGAACCCAAATGGTGTTCAGTTATTGGACTTCTGTGCAGATCGCAGTTTGGCCATAACTAACACCATGTTCAAACATAAGGATGTCCATCGGTGCACGTGGCACCAGGACAGCCTAGGTCGCAGGTCAATGACTGACTTTGTAGTCATATCATTTGACCTGCAGCCATATGTTCTGGACACTCGGGTGAAGAGAGGAGCAGAGCTGTCAACTGACAGGATCAGATGGCAGGGGAGGACGCCGCGCAGACCTGGCAGGCCCAAATGAACAGTGAGGGTCTGCTGGGAACACCTGGCGGAAGAACCTGTCCAGATGATCTCAACTCCCACCTCTGGGAGAGCTTCGACCGTGTCCCGAGGGCAGAGGGGGACATTGAGTCCAAATGGGCCTTGTTCTGCTCTGCCATTGTCGAGGCGGCGGTTGCGAGCTGTGGCCGCAAGGCAGCTGGGGCCAGTTGCGGCGGTAATCCCTGAACCCGCTGGTGGACACTAGAGGTGAAGGGAGCCGTCAGGCTGAAGAAGGAGGCGGGCCAAGCGGAGCGCAGCAGCAGCAGTCACGGAGGCAAAAACTCGGGCCTGGGAGGAGTTCGGTGAGGCCATGGAGAAAGACTATCGAACAGCTCCAAAGAGGTTCTGGCAAACCATCCGGCGCCTCAGAGGGGGAAGGCAGCAACTTGCTCACACTGTTTACAGTGGGGGCGGGGAGCTGCTGACATCAATTGGGGACATTGTTAGGCGGTGGAAAGAGGAAGGAGCTCCTCAATCCCACCAACACATTTTCCAGTGAGGAAACAGAGCCAGGGGTCTCGGGGGCGGGTTGTCCAATTTCTGGGGCAGAAGTCGCTGAGGTAGTGAAGCAACTCCGAGGCGGCGGAGCCCCGGGGGTGGATGAGATTCGCCCTGGATATCTCAAGGCTCTGGATGTTGTAGGGCTGTCCTGGCTGACACGCCTCTGCAACATTGCGTGGACATCGGGGGTAGTGCCTCTGGATTGGCAAACTGGGGTGGTGGTCCCCATTTTCAAGAAAGGGGACCAGAGGGTGTGTTCCAACTACAGGGGGATCACACTCCTCAGCCTACCCTGTAAGGTCTACTCCAGGGTGTTGGAGAAGAGGGTCCAGTTAATAGTTGAACCTCAGATTGAGGAGGAGCAATGTGGTTTTCGTCCCGGACGCGGAACCGTGGACCAGCTCTTTACCCTCGCCAGGGTGCTGGAGGGGGCATGGGAGTTCGCCCAACCAGTCCACATGTGTTTTGTGGATTTGGAGAAGGCTTACGACCGTGTCCCCAGAGGCATCCTGTGGGGGGTGCTCCGGGAGTATGGGGTTGGTGGCCCCTTGCTAAGGGCCATCCAGTCCCTGTACCGAAGGAGCGTGAGTCTGGTTTGCGTGGCCGGCAGTAAGTCGGACCTGTTCCTGGCGAGGGTTGGACTCTGCCAGGGCTGCCCTTCGTCACCAGTTCTGTTCATAACTTTCATGAACAGAATTTCTAGGCGCAGCCGAGTGGTGGAGGGTGTCAGGTTTGGTGACGGGAGGATTTCGTCCCTGCATTTTGCGAATGACATGGTCCTCCTAGCTCCATCAAACAGTGACCTCCAGCTCTTGCTGGGACGGTTCGCAGCCGAGTGTGAAGAGGCTGAGATGAGAATCAGCACCTCCAAGTCTGAGGCCATGGTCCTCAGCTGGAAAAGGGTGGATTGCCCACTCCAGGTCGGGGGGGAGGTCCTTCCTCAGGTGGAGGAGTTTAAGTATCTCAGGATCTTGTTCACGAGTGAGGGTAGGATGGAGCGGGAGATTGACAGGCAGATTGGGGCGGCATCAGCAGTGATGCAGGCGCTTAACCGGTCCGTTGTGGTGAAAAGGGAGCTTAGCCAAAAAGCGAAGCTCTCGATTTACCAGTTGATCTACGTTCCAACCCTCACC